GGAACACCTGACAGGTCCCGATGAACTCCAGTCTCCGCTCTCCGCTCGCCCACCACGTGTCTCCCTTAATGCCACAATTTAAGCCACTAACCGAGCTCTGTGAACCTGCCAAACCCCACCGCTACGATACTAAGTGTGATGTACACCGATTCATTACGTCACGTTTCCCTATATGTGATTAATGTCACAGCTGCTACCGATGGAACATTAATGAATATCAAATAGAGTAATTTGGGTTGGTTGGTGTATATATATTTGTGTGTGTGTAAGAGAGAGAGAGAGAGAGAGAGAGAGAGAGAGAGAGAGAGAGAGAGAGAGAGAGAGAGAGAGAGAGAGAGAGAGAGAGAGAGAGAGAGAAAGAGAAGAGAGAGAGAAAGAAGAAGAGAGAAGAAAGAAAGAGAAAGATAGAAAGATAGATAGATAGAGAGAAGAGAGAGAGAGAGAGAGAGAGAGAGAGAGAGAGAGAGAGAGAGAGAGAGAGAGAGAGAGAGAGAGAGAGAGAGAGAGAGAGAGAGAGAAGATAGATAGATAGATAGATAGATAGAGATAGATAAAGATAAATATATATATATAGAGAGAGAGATAGAAAAAGAAAGAAAGAAAGAAGAAAGAGAGAGAAGAGAACGGAGCAGAAGAGAGAGCAGATCCGAAGTCTTTGTCTTCTCAATTCCGCAGCTGCCCCAAGGTACACGGAGAGGGGGGTGGGGGTGGGGGGGGGGTGGGGGGATCGACCGGTTATGGTGGTGGTACGGGCTGGTTTTCCCTCGAGTGAATGCGTGCGTGAGTGAGTGAGTGAGGAAGCGAATGAGTAAGTGAATAAGTGAACGAGTCAGTGAATAAGTGAAGTGTTTGAATGAGTGAGTGAGTGAGTAAAGAAGTGAGTGACTGAGTAATAAGTGAACGGGAGAATGAGTAAATGATAAATGAGTCAGTCAATGAATGAGTAAGTGAATAAATAAGTTAATGACTGAGTAAGTGAATAAGTGATCGAGTGAATGAGTGAATATGTAAGTGGAGGTGTCAAGCCTCTGTATCACGTCAATCGTTTGTGTCAAGTGCCCTTTGTCAGCGGTGTGTGTCAAGTGCCCATTATCAAGAGTGTGTGTCAAGTCTGTGTCCATCCGTTTGTTCAAGTGTCTGTATCGAGTGTCTGTGTCAAGTGTCAATTGCTTGTGCCAAGTGTATGTGTCAACCGTTTGTGTAAAGAGTCTGTGTCAAGTGTCTGTATCGAGTGTCTCTGTCAACCGTCTGTGTCAAGTGTCAATTGTTTGTGCCAAGTGTATGTGTCAATTGCTTGTGCCAATTGTCTGTGTCAACCGTTTGTGCCAAGTGTGTGTCACCCGTCTGTGTCCAGTATCAATGGTCTGCCACGCCCCCGCGACCACCATCGTACCCCGCGTGTCCGGCAGGAGCGCGCGTGACACAGCCAAGACTCCACGTGGTTGCCTGATCCTCGCTCTCGACTGAGGGTCAAGTGTCATGTGTCAAGTGTCGCTGCACCAATTAACCCTTCCGTCCCAGCCCCCAGCCCCCCCCCCCTCTCCCCCTCCTCCTCGTTCTTCCGTCGTCTCTCTCTCTCTCTCTTCTCTCTCTCTCGTCTCTCTGTCTTCTCTCTCTCTCCTCTCTCTCATCTCTCTCTCCTCTCTCTCTTGTTCAGCGGTTATAAAAACGTTCTGTTCGTTTCCCTCTTCCTTCCTCTCTCTATCCCAATTCCTGTTTTCTTCTTTATCTTCCTCTTCCTCTATTTCATTTCATTTCATTTCATTTCACTCGCTCTTACTCTTACTCTAATTCGCTCTTCCTCTAACTCAAAACATCTGATCTTCCTTTCTCCTCGCTTTCTCCTTATCCACGCCTTTCCTATCTCAATTTCTCTTTCCCTCTCTCTCTCTCCATCCACTACTCCGCTGGGTTGACTTTTGTGAGCAAAATGTTCGTATTCGTTATCTACCGTTTTCCTTTCCTTCGGTAATAACAAAAAAAAAAAAACATAACGAAACGGATTAATAAGACAAAAAAATGCGCTACGGCTTCCAAATAGCATCTAAGTTATCTCTCTCTCTCTATCTATCTATCTCTCTATCTCTCCATCTCTCCATCTCTCCATCTCTTAATCTCTGCTCAATCTCTCTTCAATCTCTCAATCTCTCAATCTCTCAATCTCAATCTCAATCTCTCCAATCTCTCATCTCTTCAATCTCTCAATCTCTCAATCTCTCTATCTCTCTATCTCTCTATCTCTCTATCTCCCAATCTCTCTATCTCCCAATCTCTCTCCAATCTCTATCTCCCAATCTCTCTATCTCTCTCTCTCTCTCTCTCTCTCTTTCCCTCGTAAGTGACCTAAGCATCTAAGACGACAGCAACGATAATTTTTACGTCAAATTATCATAATAAAAACTATAACGAAACGGATTAATAAGAAAAAATGGACTACGCTTTCCAGTGATATTGTCGATGACGATGTCAATCAGGAACAGCAAAAATATATATAAAAAACGAAAAATAACACAAAATTAAATCATTAAACATACGATTACAACAATGTGATATTAACAACCACAAAAATTATAAAAAAAACAACAATTTCCATAACAAAAGAAATGTGACAAAATCTATAAGGGCAAATCAGACAAACAAACAAACAACAGATTCGGGTCTGGATGAGCGCCTCGAAGGTCGACCTCGAGTGGAGCGCCTAAAACTCGAGCAATAATAGATGGCGTAAAAACTCACCTTCTTAGCGAAGATGGTAAGAGTGGTAATGAAGAATGGTAAGGGAGGTAGATGATGATGATGATTAGTAACGATGAGAGAAATTATGAAAACACTGATAATGGAGAGAGAAGTGATGATAATATTGATAACGAAGAGAGAAGTGATGATAACATTGATAACGAAGAGAGAAGAATGATAATATTGATACCGAAGATAAGAGATGACAATACTGATAACGAAGAGATAGGTAACGATAACACTAATAACGAAGATAAAGTGATCACACCATTAATAACGAAAAGAGAAGTGATGAAGACATGGACAACAGAAAGATAAGTGATGTAAGTAATGCATATAACGAAGAGAATAGAGATAACAACCCTGATAACGACGATAAAAGGCAAACCTAGAAGAGGAGCATAAAACTCGTGACGTTTCGAACTCGGCCATCATCCTCATCAGGCAACGTAAATGACAGATTCGCTCTTTACGGCAACTCTGGTTATCTTTACCTTCATTAATGATGATTAAAGATAGAATAATAATAATGATGATGATGATGACAATAATAATAATGATGATGATGATGACAATAATAATAATGATGATGATAATAATAATGATGATGATAATGATAATAATGATGATAATAATAATGATAACAATAAATATAATAATAACAACAACAATAACAAGTGATGATAAAGACGCCGAAATTGACAATGCTGATAAAGGGGTAGAGATGACGATGCTGAGAGGCAGGCAGGAGAGAAATGATGAGAGATGGTGTAAGGAGGAATTAGAAGAGAGGAAGAAAGAGGAAAAAGGCGGAGAAGAAATGATGAAGGAGGAAATGAGAAAAAAGAATAAGAAATAATGGAAGGTGGAGAAAGGGTAAACGGGGAAAGAGGAGGAAAGAAAATGAAGAAATGACGGAAGATGGAGAAATGGAGAAAGGAAGAAAACGGAGGTGGAAAGAAGGGAAGAGGACGCTATGAAATGACAAGGGGGGAGGGGGGGGCGGGAATGCCATTCAATGCTCGACCTTCTGAGGAATGCTGCTGGGGTGGATTCCTGTGCGACGGGGGAGAGGGAGAGGTGATGGAAGAGAGAGGAGAGGGGGGTCATGGGAGAGAGAGTGAGAGGGAGTCATGGGGAGAGAGAGGGAGAGGGGGAGGGGAGAAAGAGGGAAGAAGGAGGGAGAGGGGGTGATGGGAGGAGGAGAGGGAGAGAGGAGACGAGGAGGAACGGAAAGGGGGATCGGAAAGATAGGGAGAGGAAAAGGGAAAGAGAGAGGACTAGCCAATGCTGTGAAGAGTATGTGTGAAAGAGAAAGACGGAAGGAGGGAGTGTCAAAGTAAAAAAGAGAGAGAGAGAGAGAGAGAATGGGGGATAGATACAAACAATACACCACACACACACACACACACACACACACAACACACACACACACACACACACACACACACACACACACACACACACACACCACACACACACACACACACACACAACAGAAAGAGAAAGAGAGTGAGACAGACAGACAGACAGAGACAGTGAGAGAGGAAGGACAGAGAGAGAGAGAGAGAGAGACAGAGAGAGAGAGAGAGAGAGCAGAGAGAGAGAGAAGAGAAGAGAGAGAGAGAGAGAGAGAGAGAGAAGGAGAGAGAGAGAGAGAGAGAGAGAGAGAAGAGAGAGAGAGAGAGAGAGAGAGAGAGAGAGAGAAGGAGAGAGAGAGAGAGAAGAGAAGGAAGAGAGGAGAGAGAGAGAGAGAAGAGAGAGGAGAGAGAGAGAGAGAGGGAGAAATAGAGAGAGAAGGAGAGAGAGAGACAGAGACAGCGACAGTGAGAAAGGAAGGACAGAGAGAGAGAGAGAGAGGAGAGTGAGACGAGAGAGAGAGAGAGAGAGGAGAGAGGAGAGAGAGAGAGAGAGAAGAGAGAGAAGAGAGAGAGAGAGAGAGAGAGAAAGACGCCTGAGTCCGAGAAAGACAGAGGCAAGACAGACAAACGGCAATCCTCATTTAAGCCAGCACTGTTGCCCCCCCTCCCCCCCTTTCCCCCCGCACCTACCCTCTCCCCTCCCCCTTCCCCCACCCTCTCCCCAATCTTCCCTTCCCTCCTACCTCTTTCTCCTCCCGCTACCCTCTCTCTTCCTGGCCCCTCCCTCCCTCCTCATCTGCCCTTATCCTTCTCCTCCTCACTGGCCCATCCTCCTTCCCATCCCCCTATCCCCTTCCTTCCTCCTCCTCCCTCACCCCTCCCTCCCTCTCCCTACTACTGTACCTAGGTATATGGCAGAGGACCATTTTCATCTCTATGCCACCCAAGCATAGAGGCCGCTTTCCTGTGTTACCTGAGAGTGAACTATGTCAGGTGACACGACATGACTGGAGGGTGAAGGGTGGAGGGCGAAGGGCAGGGGGTGGGGCAGGGGGTGAGGGGGAAGGGTGGACAAAAGGGACACAGGATGGAGGACTCGGTCGCTTATGGTAAAATAGAGGGAGGCATAGGAAGGGGTGGGAAGGCGAGTGGGAAAGGTATTCGCACACACACACGTACACGACCGCATATACACACGCACGCGCACACGCACGCACGCACACACACACCACACACACACACACACACACACACACAC